AAATACAGATACAACTTACCAGAATCTATGGGATGCAATGAAAGCCGTCCTCAGAGGAAAATTTATTGCACTGAGCTCCCACATCAGGAAAACAGAACCAATGCAAATAAATAACATGATGCTACACATCAAAGAACTAGAAAAAGAAGAGCAAGTCAAGCCCAAAGCCAAAAGAAGAGAGGAAATTATAAAAATCAGAGCAGAAATCAACGCAATAGAGACTAAGAAAACAATCCAAAGAATCAATGAATCAAAAAGTTGGTTCTTTGAAAGAATAAATTGATAAGCCTCTAGCCAACCTTATTAAAAGAAGGGAAGAAAGAGCTCAAATCCATGCAATAAGAAATGAAAAAGGTGACGTCACTACAGACTCAATAGAAATACAGAAGATCATCAACCCCTATTTCGAAAACCACTACTCTCAAAGGTTTGCTAACACAGAATAGACAGATTCTTAGAAACATATGAAGTCCCAAAGCTAGATCAAGAGGATGTAAAACTGCTGAATAACCCAATCTCTATCAATGAAATTGTACATGTAATTAATTCCTTACCTACAAACAAGAGCCCAGGCCCAGACGGATTTACTGCAGAATTCTACAAGAAATACAAAGAGGACCTAATGCTGACACTCCTCAAACTCTTCAATGAAAATGAAAGGGAAGCAATTCTTCTCTAGTCATTCCTGGAAGCAAATATTACTCTAGTACCAAAACCTGGGAAAGACCCAACCGAAAAAGAGAACTACAGACCAATCTCCCTAATGAATACAGATGCAAAAATCATCAATAAAATATTGGCAAATAGGATGCAGCAAATCATCAAGAAGATTATACACCATGACCAAGTGGGATTCATTCCAGGCATGCAGGGATGGTTCAACATACGTAAATCAATAAATGTAATCCACCATATCAATAAAGTCAAAAGTAAGAATCACATGATCATTTCCATAGATGCAGAAAAAGTCTTGGATAAGGTACAACATTCATTCATGATAAGAACTCTACAGAAAATTAGAATAGATGGTCTTTACCTCAACATAATAAAGGCTATCTATGACAAACCAACAGCCAGTATCATACTAAATGGCCAAAAATCGAAAGCCTTTAATTTAAAATCAGGCACAAGACAACGATGTCCTTTATCACCTCTCCTATTTAATATAGTCCTGGAAGTACTAGCCAGAGTAATTAGACAAGAGAGAAAAGTAAAGTGGTAAAGATAGGAAAAGAAGAAGTTAAATTGTCATTATTTGCAGATGACATGATACTCTACATAGAAGACCCCCTAACTCTATTGAAAGACTCTTAGATATAATAAATAAATTCAGTAATGCAGCTGGGTGCAAAATCAATACTCAGAAATCGATAGCATTCTTATACACTAACAACAAAATCACAGAGAGAAAAGTAAGAGAAGCCACACTGTTCACAGTAGCAACCAAAAAAATGAAATATTTAGGAATTACTCTCATGAAAGAAGTGAAAGACCTATGCAGGGAAAATGAAAATACATTGAAGGAAGAAATTGAAGATGATCTCAGAAAATGGAAAGACATCCCATGTTCATGGATAGGAAGAATAAATATTGTGAAAATGGCCATTCTCCCAAAACTGTTATACAGATTCAATGCAATCCCAATAAAAATACCATCAACATACCTTATAGATCTAGAGAAATCACTCCTAAGGTTCATCTGGAACCAGAAGAGACCTAGAATATCAAAGGCAATTTTAAGCAACAAAGGCAAGTCAGGAGGCTTCACAATCCCTGACTTGAAGTTATACTACAAAGCAACAGTAGTAAAATCAACATGGTACTGGAATCAAAACAGAGCAGAGGATCAATGGAATAGATTAGAAGATACAACCACAACTACAAACACAGTCAACCACCTTATCTTCGATAAAGGAGCCAAGCAGGTTCACTGGAAGAACGACAGTCTCTTTATTAAATGGTGTTGGAAAAACTGGCTCTACATTTGCCAAAAACTAAAACTCGACCCAACCCTATCAACATGTACTAAATTAAAATCTAAATGGATTAAAGATCTGAATATTAAAACAGAAACACTAAATCTATTGGAAGACAAATTAGGTAGAAACCTTGAAGACATAGGGGTAGGTAGAGGATTCATGAATAGGACTCAAACTGCACAGGAAATACTTTCCAGAATCAATAACTGGGACTACCTCTTATTAAAAAGTTTCTGTAAGTCAATAAAATCTCCAGCATAGTGAAAAGAAAACCCACAAACTGGGAAAAAATCTTAGTGAACTCCCTCTCAGACAAAGGACTTTTGTCCAAAATATATAAAGAATAAAAAAAAAATCAGACCCTCGAATTTCAAAGACCCAATCCAAAAATGGGCATCTGAGATGAATACACACTTCTCAGAGGAAGAAATACAAATGGCAAATAAATACATGAAAAAATGTTCATCATCATTGGTTATTAGGGAAATGCAAATTAAAACCCCACTGAGATTCCATCTCACTCCTGAAAGGATGGCCAGGATCAAGAAAACCAACAACAAGTGCTGGAGAGGCTGTGGGGAAAAAAGAACTCTCCTACACTGTTGGTGGGAGTGTAGACTGGTACAACCTTTGTGGAGGTCAGTCTGGAGATTTCTCGAAAAGCTGGGATTGGAAGTCCCATTTGTTCCAGCTATTCCACTACTAGGCATCTTCCCAGAAGAACTGAAAGCATCATACCAAAGTGATATATGCGCACCTATGTTTATAGCAGCACAATTTGTAATTGCCAGATCATGGAAACAACCCAAATGTCCGTCTACCTATGGATAAAAAAGTTGTGGTACTTCTATACAATGGAGTACTACTCAGCTATAAAGAAGGAACACATTGAGGTATTTATCAATAAATGGGCACAGCTTGAAACCATACTCATAAGTGAACTAAATCAAACTCGCATCTGTGAACTCCAAATAGTTTCCCCAGTGTAGGAAATGAATCAAATATATAAAAATATGTTATAACCATGATTCCCCATTATATGGCCTTGAGGCCTCATAAAATTTTCACTCATTAATTTCACTCATTAATTTCACTCATTAATTTCACTCATTAATGGCTGTATTCTGGGCTGTTTGATATTATGGCCGGTGATGCAATGAACAGCTACTTTGAAGAAAATAAGACATAATAACAGCTAGTGCCGATTTAATACCATCTTGTCTTAAAGCCGCACCAAACTATGGTTCTTCTGTCTCCATTGATTTTATCGTGTTGTAAGTTGCTGGATTTTATCGTATGTGGTAGTATAAACAAAAATTGTTATAGGCAAAGAGATAATATTGAAACCATTGATCATTTTTTCTGTTAGCTGGTTCTAAATACTCTACAATGCTTTCATCCACTTGAATGGTGTTACACAGTTTTGATATGTTTGATGCTATAGCATATGAAGTTATATTCAAATATTTCAAAGAAAAAGACACTATGGTTACTACTATTAAGTCAGGTTATTTGGTGGTGAAGCACTAGGTTGCTGAAAGTGTCATGCGTTAACCTGTATTGTTATGTTGTTATGCCCCCTTTTATCTCATCCTCTCCCTTATTCATTAAAAAATTATTTAATTTTTAAAAAATCAACCAATAAAAAAATGCTGCTGGATCTGTAGGGAAAAAGAAACCCTTTACAACTGTTGGTTAGAGAGTAGACTAGTACAAACATTGTGGAAATCAGTCTGGAAATTCCTCAAAAAATTAGGATTAGAGGTCCCATTCAACTCAGGTATTTCCCTTCTGTGTATCTTTCCAGAAGGATTGAAAAAACATCACACCACAGTGACATATGTGAAACCATAAGGTTCAAAATATACAATAGTCACTGTGAAATGGGAGGAATCTGTTCAATAAAAAAAAAGAAACTAAGATAGGGGAAAAGAGAAAGAATAGAAGGGAAAAGAAAAAAAATGCAAGTTATAGTGTCGCTTAGTTCACTGAATAGGAAAGGTTGTGCCAATATTGATTGAAGAAATTTTTATGCCCATATTTTGTACTTGAATGACTAAAGATAATGATGTGTAATTTATCAACAATTGTTACTTTTTCATTATTTTGTTGTGAAAATTTGTTTTACCTTTTCTTCTTAATATTAACAAATAAAGTAAAAAAAAATTTTAAAAAAGGACATTCTGCTTGTAAGGGACAGGATAACAAAGCCTTGGCTGTCCTGGATGCAAGGTGTTAGTTACACTCTTCAGGAGTGGCAAGAGCAAGGTCCATTCTGTTTAAGTAAATTCCTCCTTATCTTGTAATATTGCATTTCCCATGCCTTTGATGTTATTTAGGGGACCACAGGCAAGAAGAGGAAGAAGACAACGGGTCAATCAAGGCTATCTGGGGGATCATCCATCACATACTGATATCGTTTTATGCTTTAGAGATACACTGGTGTGCACAGTCAGCATTGTAACTTCCCTCATAAAGTTACCAATATAGTGAACATGGCAGAAAAATGGTATCTAGCTAGCTAGCTGGTGAAAAGATATGATTATCATGAATAAACATGGAATGCTATGAGACAATTATAGGTATCTAACTTTGTCAGTTTGGTTTTGTTTTAATGTGGAAATCTAGGTGTCTTTCATAGGAATGTGACAAAGTAAGTAGCAGTTAGCAAAAATATGTGGGCAAAAACAAACAAAAAAAAAACACTATCAGATTAATCTTAAAAATGTTTCTTCTCCTTGAACCTAAGAACACTTAAGGAAATATGTGTGTGTTTTTCTGTGTGTGCATGTGTATGGTATATAGAAGTGATTGCCTTATATAAATGTTACTTCTGAACTCTGGACACATGACAAATACCTGAATCAAGCTGCAATAAGTTCATAGGAATTTGCTTAACCAAGCATCTATAGTATGCTGGTCACCGTACAGATTTCAGATAATATATATATATATATATATATATATATATATATATAGTAATCAAATGCTCAAGTACATTTAAAATGCTTTATGAGCAATCTGTATTCTTTAACATGCCTCATTATGAACTAACATCCTGATAATTGTGTTCTTCAGAGGAGATACAGATAGAGAATACCCTAATCAAGGTTTGGTGTCCCAACTGGATTAATCTCTATTTGCTCTACCTAACATTTTTCTACATTTTCTCATCCTGGAAACTCTTCTTCTGTTTCTTTTCTCATTTCCTTCTTATTTTTTTAACTTAAGGTTTCATCCATTTTGTTCAGCAGTCATAATAATATTGCACTTAGATTATTGCTTAGCTGTAAAGTAGTTGTAAGGTCAAAGATCTCTGATGTTGAACAGCGTTGAAAACTGCATTCATGGCAAAGTGTTCCAAAGAAAAGTTTTCCTTTGACAAATAATAAATAATTATGAAACCTAGTACAAAGATGGATAAATAGTTCCAGGAAATTAACACATAGCTATGAATAAATTTAAGTAGTATATAAATAGGTAAATCACATATGTTCTATATATCAGAAGTGTAGATGTGAGAAATCAACAAGTTTACTACCAAAAATGTTGAATATTAATTGACACAGGCTAGAGGGAAAAGTTCAAAACCCATGCTCACTTATCTCTTATATAAACTGCTTACAATCTCTGCCTCATAATTACAGGAGTCTTTAAGTTCAACTGTCAGGATTGCTTAGGTTTCTGCCTTCCTCTCAGAATGGTGGATTGCATGTTTTTACTGACTCGAATTCTGTTCATCTGCTGCTGTTTTCTAACTGTATGCTGCATACAACGTAAGAAAATTTTAATTAATTTATTTCTAGAGATTGAATATATTAAGACTTAATTAGATTCAAACTAGAGAGGGAAGAAATGCTGAAGAAGTAGCCAAACTTAAAGAACTAGCGAAGGTTTTGTTAAAAATTTACAAACCTGAAAGTATCTGATTTTTAAAATGAGTTTATTTCTGGAATGGTTTTTTTTTCTCTTGAAGCTAACATTTTTGTCTTTGAAACAAACATGAAATATAACAAATTTGATGAACTTGTAAAATTTTTACTTTAGTTGATATAGTGAATGTTTTGGGCTACTTATATTTAATAATTTGTTCTCAAACTGTATAAACATTGCAGTTTTTTAGAAAAGTTTCAATTTTCAATATGGTCAATACAAATATGTATTTACTTGATATAATAAAAATCATGTGAATCCCTAAAAAAGAGATAGCTAACTAAAATTGATAAAATCACATCTGTCTATGAAACAGAACCTAAAATTTTTGCCAAGCCAAAAAGTACAATTCTTTTTTCTAAACTTTATCTGTTGATAAACATTAAAACAATAAACATTGTTGATAAACATTAAAATTCCCTAAATGATGCCATTTGAAACCAATCATATTGGTGAAGGATCTTTGTAATGTTGGGTAATTAGATGAGCAATGCAGCATTTTGCTGAGCTGAAGTTTTTTTCATATTAAAAAGTGACTAAAGTTTTTAAATGATTTTACATATAAGCTCCATTGTTTCTGATGTTATTCTTTTATTCATTTTGGCAATATGTTTATTTAGCAAATCAGTGTTTCATATTTAACCTTAAGAAAGAACATGCTCTACAAAGTGCAAATGGCTTCCTTCTGGTTACTATAGCCCTGAAGACATTTCTGTTTCTTGTCTGTCACCTTCAATACCAGATACTCAGATATTTGAAAGCTTGGGATTCAAACAATCTAAAATGTCATTTGATGAAAGTTTTACTTTGTATTTAGGCTAGCAGAGGCTCAAAATAATTCACATGTTCATGGAATTATAGTGTCTGTCTATATCTGTCACTTACAGAAATTTTTCTTTCTCATTGATTTTACAACATAGAAAAATTTTCTCAGTTCATATTGGGGAGGGTATTGTACAGTTGTATCAATGGCAGAATAGCTCTTCATAGTTATCTTGGAAATAACCCCCTCCCCAAAATCATTAAGTGTTAGGACTAAAGTGCCTGCTACCCCCAAGGGCTACTATTAGGGTGACTAATCTACTATCTAAGTCAGTGCTCCTTGGGAGTGAAGTATGCCATGAATAAATTTCCTGGATAACAAGTATAAACTAGAACTATCTTAACAAACCATTATACATGATGACACTGTCCTTCGGTGTATTGTTTTTCCTTTCTGTAGCCAGAAGTTGAAATTCAAGTTTAATCCAAAAGAATTTTACTTCAAAAATTAGACATTCTTTCGGTCATAATGCTACATATTGACTTTTTAAAAAGTTATGCTGCAAAAATCAAGTACAAATAATGGAAAGGAAACATGTCCATATATTCTTCTTGAATTTTGAAGCATATTGCTTGATAATGATATTTGAACATAGCAGAATACCACATTATTTTTATCTCTTTTAAGAATTTTAAAAATGTAAACAATTTTTATCAAAGCAATACTTTTGACATGTACAGTATGCAAGTTTGAAACATATGTCCTATCTTATTGAGGAAATATTTTTAATTTTTAAATTTACAGCCAATTGTACATCTGTGGCCAACTTTGATGACTGTCCTGGAAATGTAACAGACTTCTGTCCAGAGAATATTGTTTGTGCATGCAAAGATGGGGAGCCTTTTTGCAAGTAAGTGGTTGCATATGGTTTAAAGCACAGCAAACATAATATATTGAAAGTAATAATTCACTGCTTTCATTAATTTACTTCCTATATTTGATAATGTAATAATTACTTTTTAAATATTTTAATCATAAATGGATCCTATGAACATTCAAAAGTTGTAGTGTTTTTAAAATACTAGTTTTAAAAATAATAATAAAATACTACTGTTTTTAAATTTTTTTTAATTAAAATTAAGATATTTATATAAATTTTTTAGCAGTTAAAAGTTTTATTTTCAGAGATATTGTAGGGGTTAATACTGGATTTAGCCTTCAGATTTAATTTATTTTCTGGATCTGGTAGTTATTCAATAAGTCTCATAAGAGTGCATAATATTTTAACTGTATAAAACTTTTATTACTTTATAGCTTCTAATAGTGTCTGTCTGCCTTTTAAACCCATTGCAATGTTTGCTGAAGTGTTAACACATTAGTAAAACTTTTCTTAAACAAAACAAACAATATGATAGGAAATCAATAATGGCTACCATAATGCCTCTTGTTATCCTCAATACTGCCCACCAGACATAATAAAATAAACCAAAATAGAACAGAATAAAACCAATCAAAACAGATCATTGAATAAAACAAAACAATAAAATGGAACAAAACAGAACATTATTAGATTTCAACAACAACACAGAAGGAAATCCCTCATAGTTGCTATATTGCCTAGTGTTAGAATCCAAATAGATGTTTAGACTACCACTTTAGGCCTGAATATTCAATCAAACAATACAAGCATTAAGTTATCTTTGGACCTAAGTTGCTATCAACTCAGCTGTGTTCCTCTGAATCAGCTGGTTGCCTCGGGATGGAAGTGGAATTTATTTTCTCCAAGCCCGTGCACTGACTGGTTCATGGGAAGGGCAAATTGGCATCTTGTTTCTTCTCTAGAGCCCTGCATGGCTGCTTCTGGCTCAGGGGAAGGGCAAATTGACTTTGATTTTATGGCTCAATTTTTATTGATTTTATGTATTAGCACCATTCAAAACTGCTTTCCATAGTCTTTTAAGCTTAGTAACATATATTAATAAACTTTAAAAAATTAATTTCATTTTTACATTTTAGATATATATAATAGCATTCATCATGTGAAATTTGTATCTATTCATGATACATCTTTTTTCCTATTTTCTTCCCTTTCTTTCAACCCCTCTTCCTCTTTTTGCTTATGAAAACTTTGTTCCCATTTGTCCCATTATTTTTGACCTTGTCCCCTTCTTCCTTTCTCCTTCTTCTTCCTTTGTTCCCCTTCTCATTTAAATATATTCTTCCAATTTCCCATTACCTATTATACATTTTGGTCCTTATTTACACTTTCATTTTCTCACAACATAGAAAAATGCTGTATTTGAACATGTGTGTCCAATTTATTTCACTTGAGTATGATGCATCTCAAGTTGCATCCATTTACCTAGAAATGTCTCAAGTTTGTCCTTTATCACAGAGTAGTGCTACATTGTCTAAAAAACCCCACATATTCTTTATCCATTCATCAGTTGATGGGCATTTGGCCAGTTTTTCAAGATTTAGCTATTACAAACTGTGCCACTGTAAACATGGATATGCGCGCATCACTGCATTTTAATTCTTTTGGGGAGATTCAAAGAAGGGGAACAGTTGGGTCAAATAGAACCTCTAGTTGTAGGGTTTTTTTCCAAATCAGATTTTGTTGGTACATTTTATACATACATAATGATCACATTCATCATGAAGAATTTGAAACTGTGTGTGATATAACCTGATTGTTTTTTACCATCCTTGTATTCTCCCTTCAATCCCTCCTCCCCTTTCCATTTACAAAAGCTTCTTTTCCACTTTTTCCTCCTTTTCTCATTTTTAAAACTTTTCTCTTCTCCCCCCACCCCCACTGATGCAACCAATGTTTAAATCAGTGCGGAGATTCATCAAAAACTGGTACTACAGTTTCCATTTCACACAGCTATTCCCTTCCTTGGTATCTTTCTACATAATTAAAGGATTTCTGATAATATATACACACTTATGTTTATTGACTCTTTTTGGTACTAGAACTCAGGACCTCACACTTGCCAGGTAGGTGCTGTGCTGCTGAGCTATATCCCCGGTCCCACTCCCATGTTTATAGTGGCCATTTGTATTAGCCAAATCCTGGAAAGAGCCCAAATGCCCATCAACTGGTGAATGAATAAAGAAGGATAAACTTGAGACATTTCTTGGTAAATAGGTGTACCTTGAGACCATATTCTTAAAGAGAAATAAAATTGGACACACATTGATAAATACTATATTGTTTCTTTGTTGTGAGAAACCAAAAGTGTAACAAAGGACCAAAATGTGTAATAGGTATTGTGAAATAGGAAGAACATAGTAGACATTTTATTGTTCCAACAGAGAAGAAAAATCAAAGTGCATATTATTTTATTTAATACTAATACTTCTGACATCTTACATATGAATAAAGTTTCATTGTAAATCAATATATATTTTAATAATACTTTGACTTACTGTTTTGTTTTCAGGTTTATGTTTTATAAATTATGATTGAGTCATTAATTATTTTCCTTTAAAGCTCAGGCAGATTTTCTGTTTTATCTTACCATAAAAATGAGTGTGATTGGGTCAGAAATGGGATAAAGGCTAACAAAAAACAGTATAAGAAAGAGAAAGGGTGCATCTTTCAGAGAAAATAAGGTGGATAATATTGCAACTATCTTAGTACACTGAATGATGCTACTTTTAGTTCCCCAAGTGCACAGTTTTTTCTATCATGTTTGAATGTTTGAATATACTATAATTTCACTTTGTTACTCTTCATTATTTTTCTTCTCCCACAACAGCAGTTTTACATTGACAATTTTTTTATGGTCTTACAGGTTTTCATTTTTATTAGTTTTTTTTGCAACACACAATATCCCAGGACCTTGACAAATTTGTGCTTGACCTTTAAACTTAAGCTCCTTCATACTCCTAGCATAGTGCTTAAACTACTAATTATATACTACAATTTCTTTGAATTTTAGATTACACATTCCCTCTTTTAGAGCACCACAAAAATAATAATTTAATATTATTTATCTCTAGTATCTAGCACAATGTCTGGCATATAGGATGTGTTCTATAAAAGTTTATTGAATGAATTAATCAGTCATTCTTTGTGAGTGGTCACTTGCCTGTGAAAAATATTAGATGGGTTTTACAAAGTAATTTCTTTTTTTTTTTTTTTTTTTTTTGTGGTTTTCGTTTTTATCGGTACCAGGGGTCGAACTCACAACTGCCTGCTTGCAAGGCAGGCGCTTATGCTACTGAGCTAAATCCCCAGCCCCTTACAAAGTAATTTCTTAAAAATACAGTAATGTTAATGTTGTAGTCAGGGGTTGTACACAGACAACAATTAGGTTCAGGACATGGAGTTATAATATTTTTATAATGGTCACTGAGAGTTAACACAGGAAAATGCAGGAAATCTGTCCACAACACCAAAGAAATAGATTATTTAGTCAAGGGCCTAAACCCCACAGCACATGTCCCACATGAGTCCAGATAAAAACCCAGAGCTCAGGACAATGCCTCCCACGAGTCCAATTGTAGGCCCAGAGCCCACAAGAAGGACTCACACCAGTCTCTTTTACGGATCTGTGCGGGGGAAGACCCAAGGGTCAGCAGTGGAAGCCAGAAAGTCTATGCCAGCAAGATGAAGGAGCTGTGCTAGTGGGATGAGGGCTCTTCACTGGAGCCGAGAAGTCACACTCACAATAAAGACCAGGGCTATTCTGAAAGGCACCACAGCTGTCCTCAGCAACACGGAGGCCCCAAGCTCCTCCGACCTCAAGCACAGTGGGGTACGTGCCAGGAAGCAGCATGAGAGCTCCTCCTGGAGACCAAGCAGCACATGTCTTCCCCTCCAGAGCCAGGAAGCAATGCTCGATGTGAGGACCAAAGCTTCTCCGGGAGAACCAACATCTCAGACAGCAACTCATAGGAGAACCCACAATGCCTCCTTAATGCCTCAACCCTCAACACTTCCCTTCTTCTCCAACTATTTATCCTGGCAACCCTCCTCAGGTGGAGCATTTTCACTCAATGCATGCTGATGAAATCCAGCTGGCGTTAAGTTGACCACCGATTCTCAGTCCATAACAGTTAAAGAATGCCTGTAGTTCCAGTTGATCCAGAAGTTAAAACTGGAGAATCACTAAAGCTATGAATTAGAGATTAACCTCGTTAACATAGTGAGACTCTATCTAAAAAAAATACAGAAGAATGCAATGCATTTAGCATTTGAGGGTTGCTAACAACCTTTCAGATATTGTTCTAAGGCTTAGTTGTAGACAAAAACTAGACTGCAAAATTACATTCAAGGAATATATGTAACTTATTTAGAATTGGAGTTCTGCACTACAGTGTTTTGAGGCCAACGAAATAGGCTAATTATGCCTTTATAAGCATGCCAGTTCTCAATATGACTAATGAAGTATTGGTCAGTCTTTATCTGTCATAAGGCATTGTATACTGCTACATGCTGCTTTGCTGAAAGAGTGTATCTAGTTTAAGCTCCAAGGCTGTGATCAAATCTCCTAAAGGTAACTCTCATTCTTGTTTTTGTAAGAGATCCTAATTCATAACATCTGCTATACACTGGTATCTAACTGCATTGGCATGAGGCAACTGTGCCTGCACTATTATAATCTTTTCAGGGTGGGTGTAGGCATTGAGATAGATGAGTATTGAAAGCTCACCGATCATTTAGGAGTCATATAAAAACCTGTATATCTAATATGGTTCAGGCAGTGGAAAAGGCTTGTGCTTTCACATGCTACCTGTAGTCAAACTGGCTTACCTGGCAAAATCTCTCACCCCTAGGAACTGCAGACATAGTCTAGAGCCTTGAATCTTGGAGTACATAGCCTATTTCAACCTTGATTAGATGAGCCACAGTCACTCTATTGTTTTCTCTTCCAGAGTATGATCTTTACCAATTAG